AAATGAATTGACCAATTTATTGTAAAAATTTTATGCTAATTACAATTTAAGAAAATTGTGCTTGACAAATAAAAAAACTATTAGTACCAAGGTTACAACAACAAAAACCTAAAATAAGAAAGTAAAAGTGAATACTTCACCAGCTCGTCGTTCAGTGCGAAACAATCGGCAAAATTCAAGAAGAAAAACTGTTATTAACATCAATAAATAAGGAACAGTACAGTGAAACAAGCTCAAAGTGCCAATTACGAAATTTCGGAACAATTTAAAAGCTTAAAGAAGTGAAAGTGAGCTAAAACGATATAGTTACAAGGATCGACATAAAGCTTAAAAAAAAAAAAATTTTTTTTACAATCAATACCTGAAAATATCCAAAGGTCGGAATCAACAACTATATAGTCACTTGTTACTTTCCATAAGGCTCCTATTGCAAGCCCTGAGGGACCGTAAAAGACAAGACCCACCCCAAAGAGCCATACGAAAGAAAGCCCAGTGCACCTATTGCACAATGAAAGCGGTTGTACTAAGTATTCTAGAATCGGTTATTATGTGTGAAGAGAGTTATGAGAAAGAAGCTGATAAGGAAATAGGACCTGAAAAGGACGTATATATGGAACTTAATTATTATCAAGAATTCTCGAATATGGAATATGTTGATGAAACATACATCGGTGGTCCTTGCTACGAAATTGAAAGGATGCATATCAGGCATTCATTAATTATCAAAAATCAGCAGATATGGAACAAGTCGATAGAAAGAACAACCTTGAATATCATTATCAATGTGGAAATGGAGTTGAAATAGATGAATATAAAGCATTCATTCATTATCCAGAATCTGCTAAGATGGGAAATGCTAATGGGTTGAACAACGTTGGATATTGTTATTATAGTGGAATTGGCGTTGAAAAAGATGCATATAAAGCATTCGTTTGTCATCAAAAGTCTGGTGACATGGATAATGCTGAAGGCGAAAGCCTAGATGAACAATACGCTCTCGACTTACATTACCGAAATGGATTTGAATTTAAAGCGAACAAATATGATGCATTCACTTACCATCAAAAATCTGCTGAGTTAGAAAATGCCGAGACAATGTATAATCTTGATAGTTGCAGTCACAATGGACTTGGAGTTGAGAAAAATAAAAGTAAAGCCTCAGTTAATTATCAAACACTGCCAGAAATAGGAAGTGCCGATGAAACATATGCCTGTAGATCTTATTTTGAAAAGGGATTTGGAGCTGAAAAGGATGGGCATAAGTCATTAAATATGAATGGCCTCAAAGAAACGTTTAAAGCCATGAAAAAGAAATTGTGGCTGAAAAGAATAAATGTAAGGCATTTGCATATTTGTTTAGGTTTGGCATATGATAATAGTATCAGATTTAGGATATTTAGAATATTCGGGATATTTAGCGCATTTAGCATATTTAGCATATTTAGCATATTTAGCATATTTAGCATATTTAGCATATTTAGCATATTTAGCGTATTTATATAGCATATATCTACATAGTATATAAGCGCTGTATTTTCAAAGATCTTACATAAAACTTTAGTAATAAAATACTTACCCGGCCAAAATCCACGCCTCTTTTGAGGGTGGTATTTTTACTAGAAGTTAGATGTCAGTAAAGTTCGCATTAATTAAATTCTATAATATAAATAAGAATTATAACTTACATTCTGAGAGATCGAAGTGAACATATTAATACTTATAAAATTGAGATAAATATAAAATATTTTTTAAAAACATAAAACAATCTTATAAATTTTATTGTATTTCATAAGATAACAAATACAAAATTTTAAGAATGTCTAGATTTTATATGAATATATTGGGGTTTTTTGTATATCAAAGGTGTTTCATTTTGTAGATAAGCTAGATGTCGATTTTCATACTCTAAAATCTCGTAGATTGCTGATTTTCTATTATTAGAATTTCCACCATCTTTTAGTGTTTTTTGAAAAAAAGTTGAAACTTGCATATGGTTTTTTTTTTCAACAGGCCCACAAGAAAAACTCAACATTCCCCATTTTTTATGTTTGTTTATAAATTCATGAACATGGTGAACTAAAACGTGCATGTAAGGTGTAATGTCAGCTTGTCTGTATAAACCTTGATAAAAATTATTAGAATTTGCTTTGCCGTGTGATGGTGTTAAAAAAAGGTCTAACCACTTTTTTGCTTAAGTTTTAAATTGATATGAATCAGTAGTATAATTTCGAAGTGAAATATATAGTATATAAAATCTGTCCCATAATTCACGAATTAATTTGGCACGTGATTTTGGAAAAATTTCATAAAGATTAAATTCACACAAAACTTTTATCTTATCATCACCCATTAATGAAGTATATAACCAATTATCTGTATCATAATCTTTCCAGAATTGAAAACGTACACCAATTTTGTTCATTTCTTGTATAATAATTTCTCTTGTAGTATCATTAAACAATCCAACTGCCTTAATTTTAGCAAGTGCAAGACTCCACAACCGATCAGTAATCCGCAACATAATGTGAAGTTCATCAACAATCCAATAATCTAAAGGGATTATATCGAATAAAAGATATTGCCGATGTCCAGGATATACATTTGGGTTCACTTTTAATATTTCTATTTTTTTTTCAATTGTCTACTCTTGATTTAAATTGCCTTGTTCTTTTTTTGATATCGTACACCATGGACAAAAATAAGTAGGGTTTGGTGCATTAAATCCAAGACAAAGAGATAAAAATTTCCAATCACTACTAAAATAAATAGTGACTTTCCATTTAGTATTATTAATAATAATACCATTATTAGATAATTTGTGTAATTCATTATTAAGTAGTTTTGTCGCATTTTTTAAAGTATAATAATCTTCACCGCCAGGATAAAGAATAATAGTATAATGATATTTGGGTTTGTGAATATTTGCTAAATCTTTAAGAATAGCAAATGTAATTAAAACATGCTTAACCTTACGTCCTATATTACGTCCATCCCCAGAAATTCTAATACTAATATTTGGAAAATTAAGAATTTTTTTTCAATTAATTTCGGCATTATAAATTTAAGAATATCAATAACACTTCTATATCCGCATTTTTCAACTAAATGAATGACATTTTCTATAATATCTACTTCAGTAATATCAGGCTCTTCCGTTGGATCTATTTGAGCTTGTGTTTATATATCAATTACAGATATTGGAACTACTTTAGCCATATCTTGTGTAATCTGTTTTCTTCTTTCATAAATTGTCCATATTCGAGGTAAATGAGATTTAATTGCTACAAGATTACTATAAGTATCTCGGAAAATATGTCCTTCATCTTGTACACGACAAACTGATTCCTGTTTTTGTTTTAATTTTTTTGGATCTTTGATACCATAATCGACTTCAT